GTTTTTTTCTCCATTGCCTCTCAGGGCTTCTGCAGGATCACAACTTCATGTGCAAAAAGGGATTCACACCTTGATACCTTAACTGGTCTCGTTTTATCACAAACTTGTAATTTTACAATTCATCCTGCAGAGAAATCCTCTGAGATCAATGTTCTGCTTATCTTTGCTAAATAGATTCAGCATTTATGGGATTGAGGAGCTTGGTGTGCATTGATATAACCCAGCTTTAATCCCAAAAACCTTCCAGTCCCTTTGGTGTATTTATTTCTACACTGATAAAAAGAACCCGAAACCGCATCAGCGTCTGTTCCAAGATCTGTGCCTCGCACATCAGAAATAAAATACCACCATTCAATTAAGTAAACCAGAGAAGATCATTTGAGTAAAAACCAGAAGAGGTTGAAATCTTTCCATGCACAATCAGCCGTTATGTTCCGGCTCACGTTCCAGGTCTCAAGTTGTACTTACCTCCCACCACCAGAGGGGGCTGGTGAGTTTATGGCTTGCACCATGTCTGTGGTGAGGGCATCTAACAAGCTGGTGATGAATTCCACTTTCTTCCCCTCCGGGCAGCCTGGCATAAATCAGAGACAAGAAAAATACACCAGAATTACCTTTCATGATTTGAGTCATTACTGAGCAGTGAAGCTCTAAAACCTCCACAGAGTTCAACACTAAACAGCTGTTACACGGTGTAAATCAGCACGCTAACTCTGTCTAATGCTAAATATCAAACATGGTGTCTGTTAACTGACTTATGGTGCCAATACTTTTTCTAATACCACATGTTTTTAAATGATACAATTGTTAATTTAATAATCGACAGTATCAAAAAAACGTCATCTCTTTATAAGAGAGTAGCGTCGAAAAGGAATGGATCCATCAAAAATGGCAGGCAAACTTCTGCACACCGTCCAAATTGCACAAAAACATTGGCAGCGTGTCAATGTGTCTGTGCAATTCAGATAGTGTGCAGGAGTTTGTCCACCATTTCTGACAATTTAAAAGGAGAAATGAGTCGATGTATTTTTTCTAGGACTATTTTTGTTGCCATTGTATCAAAACAAGCAAAATTTTCATTTATTTTCTCCCAGTATCAAATGGAAGCTCTGGTATCGATACTACCCTAGCTCATGATATCTGATGAATCATGATGTATACATTTAAATAAAGGTTAAAAAAAACGTTGTTTGGCGGTTTTGTAAGAGACGAGAGGAGCTGAGGCACATGGCGAGGTGGAACAGAAGTGTGCGGTGATGAGAGAGTTTTGTTGAGCAGTGCAGACTTGTTAACTTTTATGACACAATTCTGAACACCTTGGGTAGCTCTTTTTAATTGCCCAGATGTATGGCTTTAATAGCACGCTAAGCCAGTGCAAATGTTTCCCTCCTAATTGTGTCTCTTAAAGGGAAACTTCAAACGCAGCTGCGCGGTAAACTAATCTTCTCATTCTTTTTTTTCATCACTCCTTCTTCCCTCGTTCAGTCTTTCTTAGCGGATCCCCTCCTCCTCTTTCCTCTTTGCGTTTGTGGCCTCCTTGTTCACGTCTTTTCATTTGGGGGGGGGTTGTGTTCTGTGGGAGGTGGTCCGTCGCCCCGCCAGGTGAATCCAATTAGCATTTCCAACGACACGACAAGCTCTGAGAAGCTCTGCCTTGCTGCACCTTAATCCAAGTGTTAAATTGGGGTTGTGAAGCGCAGACGGTGGGGTTGTGTGCAGCCTATATGGCCCGGTGTGGAGGGGGGGGATGATGAACACAGTTTGGACCAAGTGTTCTGACCCTTTAATCAAACACTGAGCTGACCTAAACAAGCTCACCTGTCAATCAGGTCAGCTACACGCCTTATTGTGAATAAAGTCATCAAAACATTCACCCCCCGTACAGTGTGTGTCCATCCAGACATGAGCTAATCACACCTATTTGGTTTTTTGAACCAGGCTGTAAACATGTTCATCTCTGCTGTAAAAACAGGCTTTTTAGAATGGGTGTGTATGTGACTTCCTGTGCTTCTGCAGCCAGCCTCTAGTGGACACTCCAGGAACTGCAGGATTTTACACTCCAGCATCGGCTTCACTTTTCAACACTGGAGGTTCCCACTTAGTGGCAAATACCTGGGGCCACTAACCACTCTGTTGGAGGGAGACAACGTCCATGTTTCATACATTTTGCTCCTCAAACTTGTTCTTTATTATTTTAGGTAACTCACATAACTCAGGACTTTTGTGTATGGTAGTTAAATATCTAAAAACATTTAAACGGCTCTCTGACTAACAACAGATTGCAGCGCAGACACAGTTCTGTTCATACTACGGCATGTTGGGTGTCTGCATGTGAGGATGTGAGTCACACCTGTGCAGTGTGCCGGCTCATTCAGCCCAATGAAAAGAACAGATGGCGACTTTAACATCGCTCAGAGCCTTGCTGCTTCATAGATGCAGAAAGTTGTAATTTGGGCGTTATTGTGTGGAGCGGTTTACTGTTACCACAGCAAATAGTTCCTCCTCTGTGTTTAGCTCTGAGTGCACTAAAGGGATCGAGGATGCTGCAGTAATATCTGAGTCTATGATTGGTTGATTAGTGATGGACTAGATAAGACCAAACTACTTATTTACCAACGGTTTTTAAAATCTGGGTTTTGAATAGTTCCTGATCTGATTTCACGTGGAGCCAACAGATCCCAGTCTTTGGTCTCAGAGGAGGATCTGCTCCCTCTGACAAAGCCGCTATTGTGGCGCTCTGTGTACAGTAGGATTGAACCTGTAGCTGCACGCCGTTCATACTCGGCCCCTAACGCCTTCTGTTCTTCTCTTGCCTTGATGTGACGACCATGAAATATTGAGCTTTGTTGTGGCGCCTCAGAACATCCCTCTACAGTACATAAAAATATCTTCACTCAGCACCCTGTGGTTTCCAACACCCCAGCAGCCCCCCCACCACCACCACACCCCGCAACACTCACACCTTCCATAAAACATGCCACACATCTGCTGCACAGTCAGGAGTCATGCTCGACTCTGTAAACTCTCCAGATGGGGAATTAAATAAGAGTTACAATGCAAACCTTAAATGATGGGGAAACAGAAAAGCAACAAAAAGTAAGTGAGCAGTGAGACGGAGGAGAACGAGCTCGGGTTATGACCTCCGCTTCAGAGGAGAGTCTCTGATCTTTGCTGCCTGGGATCTGAACACATGCGGTCGTTTGCTGGATTATTAATCCTGTCTTCAGCGCGGAGAACCAGGAGTCAGAGATTTAAAAACAGAAAGTCAAATTTGGACTCTTCAGACTTCAGGACAGTTTTCTACTTCGCCTCAGTCCTTCTTAAAAGAGTCCGGCATCAGAGAAGGCAGCAATCTTTCTGGATCTGATTTATACAGTTTACTTTTTACTGCATGTTGGAGTTCAGAGATGAACCGTGTTCACAGACGATGGTTTTTGGAAGTCCATGTGTGCATGTGTGAACATTCAGCGCCACATTTTTTACTCCCACTTTACCCAGTATTTTTTCCCGCCAGCCTCCTGGTAAATGTTCCTGGTGAAGTTGGCTTGATAGAAATATTCAGGAAAATGGACTGCGAGCCAGCGGGAGGGGTTGATAATCTGCAACTGGCACACAACCATAGATTGTATAAACGTGTAAACAATCTCCGCTCAGGAAACGAAACAGCGTCTTTATGTTTTCTATTTGTTGATATTGTGATTTTGTCAAAAGGCAAATATTCTCACTCTGTTGCTCCTTGTCCACCAATTCCACGTCGTTCATTTCACAATTCCCCCCAACAGTAAATCTGTTCTCATTGCAGACTGTATGTGTAGTGCATGAAGTCAAAGACAGGAACAGCGACAGTAGAATTAACATTTAGCTAATTAGCATTAGCGTGAAAAAACAAACAAAGTGGCACCAAAAACAAATCGATCGCTTTGAAACTGAAGCGTACCTGTCAGGTCTCTGCCCTGGAAAGGATCCTCTGTGTCAGAGACTCGAGATCGGGCAGCGCCGTCACACTCGGGCGTCTGGTACCTGTTACACAACAAGGAGCTTTGAGAGCAGGAAACAGCTGAATAAGGAAAGAATAATAACTGAAGACTCAACCATTAAAAAGGTTTTTCCTGTTTTTCTTCCAGGCTTCAGAACGATCTGACGACAAGATATGTTTCTATCTTCATTTAAAATGTGTTTATCTTCCTAAAACGACACACTGTTGTTTATCTGTGCAGGATTATTGATGTCTTTGTTTAAACGCTTGAAAAATAAATTTGACGTGCACTGAGGTTTGTATCGGAGCCATCACAAACTGTTCAGCATTACGCGTGGCATGACTCGTTTTCTCCTGGCTTTTTGTGCAAGTGCTTCTTGAACAGGATGGAAAACTGAGCATGTGTATCTCATTTAGCTTTAAAAAAAGAAGGAAAAGCAGGTTGTCATTTCACAGTCTGCAGGGCCACGGATCCAAGGTGGGATGTGTGATGCATGATTCTGCACATTGCTGTCCAGAGGAAAGAAATTAGAATGAGTGACGTGAGGTCTAGTCAGAAATATGTGGATTCTTCTTATGTGTGGAAATAATTGCTTCAAGGTTGTCTTTTAATATATCTGAAACGCAGATGAGAATGATGTCAGTATGTTTCACTTCCTTCAGAGTTTCAGGTCCTGCAGATTAATTACAAACTGACATCTCTGAATGTAAAACCGAACCTGTTTTATTTTGTTCAAAGCGTAGGCAGCCAAACCTAAACTAACATTTTTCTGACGGGAGAAGTCTGAAACCTCGTCCTGTAAAACATAAACCGCCATGTGAAGAGAGAATAATGATGCCTCTTCAGGAGCAAACACAGCTCATCTATTTTCTCTGCTGCAGGCATTCAGTCTTTTAAACATGGGAGCACTTTGTCTCGTTCTTTGTTTGAAGCTGTTATAGCTGAATATTCATGATCGAGATGCTACCCAGGAATACTTCTTAAACAACCAAAACGTTAGCAATGCGTATCATTATCTCAAAACTTTTCTGCTGTCTAATCTCATCTCCTGTCCCATGAAGCTATCGCAGAATGTGCCTCTGCCATTTCCCCTGAAGGGAACATAAACAGCAGCGAGCACTCTGAACACACATGTCATACCAAACATTCAGTGTTTACGGTTGGCTAAATAATATTCCTATCTGGGCTTAAGGCTAATTGTTTTGCCAAATACAAAAGACCGAACAGATGCTTGGATCCCGAGGTCGTACTACAGCTGCCATTTTTTATTTGAAATTCCAACATTCATTCAAAGTAGAAAATTCACATTTGAACTGTAATGAGACGTTTGAATTCTAAATATTCAGTTTATCAGACCGTCTGAAGGAGTTTGCAGTTTGATCCAGCAGAGGGCGCTCTCAGAGTAACTTGACTATTTCATACTCTCTTGACGTCAGTAAATGAAGACGGTAATGTTGAGGCTAAAACAACCGGGGGGGACTAGTCTGTCTGCAGACAACAGCTCACTGATTGGTGGAGAGACACGGGGTCGCTACAAACCCGCAACTCTCCAAGCTGGCTCGCAAATATTTGTCTGTACATGTGTTCGCTCTGAACGAGTGTTCTCTTCAGCTCGTGCACTCAGTCAGGTTCAATACCAAGAGGTTTGACTTTTTCTTGTGCGAGCATCTAATGCTGACTTCTGCTCGTTCTCTCTGATAGGCTAAGAAATCCAATGAGTCAGACTCAGGACTTTAAAGTCTTTATATGTGATTTTTCACACTTATTGTAGAAATCAAGTCTATCCTCTGAAAATAACTCTGTGAGTCATGACTGTCTACAATGGGTGTAACACCCGAGTCCCACTGTCTGCGATGTTTTCAGAGTTTTCAGAGTCCTATCTTCAGTTTGTTTACATCGCCCGGACGGCCGGCTGACTCCTCCCCTCGTGTATAAAAGTTGTTTAATTGAGGGACTAGAGAAAAGAAGAATAACATACTGTACTCACTGCTTCACTGTGTTTCTAGATCACGCTCATTTCAGGTAAATTTACATGCAGTGTGAAGATACCAGCATAATAAAGATCGCTAGCATTAGCATGCTAACACAACAATGCACCGCAAGTTGTTTTGGTTTCATGCTGGTGCTCAAGGGCGACATCTGCTGGATCAAAAAAATCACATATAAAGCCTTTAATCCAGGACAATCGGTTCAAAGGGATGTAAACGAAGTGTTAACATTGAAGATCAAACGCATACTAGTTTTGGTTGAGGAACCAAAACTACTCGGGTTGGTTTGGGACATTTTGGGTTCTGCACTTTTCTGTACTGTGCTCTCTCGTACTTGAAAGACCTGAAGGCAAGCTTTCATGCATTTTAGCATGAAGGATGGCTCATGACTTTGATCGCCTCTTAAAAATGACCGACTCAAAATATTGCCAGACTCTGGAACAATAACTTTGTTTGAAAAGCTTAAAGAAATGTACCTACTGTAAGTTCTACTGTCAGAAAGCTGCTATGGATGGAGATTCTTTTAAAATGACTTAACTTCCAACTACGCCTTTAAAAATCTTTCTCTGATGATGACACTTAAAGTATGTCGTCCTAACAGCGTTTATATATTTTGTTTTAGCACTAGCTTCATTAAACTTCACAAAGATTAGTTTCCTGTTCTGGGCTGTCGCTGATAAATAACATTACCTCGTGGAGGTTCCAGGAATGGGCCGTCCCGTGTCCACCAGAACACACCAGCAGTAGCCCGTGGACTGGTGGCACTGGACCGCTTTGTAAAGGCCTCCGGGCCCGCAGTCGGGGATGAAAATGGCCTCGCGAGGATTCTGCCGAGCCTCGTCCAGCGCGCTCTGTCGCTCCTGGTCACAAGAGGGAACTTTCTCTAAAACCATGAGAGACACACTCAATACAGAGACGCAACAATCAGGACACCAGAAACACAACACTATCAGCTACAATTCACTGAGCAGACTCTTTTATCCAAAGCGACGTACATCAGAGAGTAAGAACAACACAAGAGAGGATCTAAAGGGAACAATGTGAGTAAGAGCAAACGATCAGCTTTGAGTCTGATTGGACACACAGGTGCTGACAGGAAGTGACCAGAGGCAAAGCACAACATTGAGGGCAGTTCTTGAGAGCTCTAATCAGTATAGAAACCATCTTATAAGTCGTTATCAAACAAAAACCATCGTCATTACCATCATCATCATCATCAATAATATGGAGACCATCATCATTAAGTTAGTAGGTATTCATGAAAGAGCTGGGTCTTTAGCTTTTTCTTAAAGGTACAGAGGGACTCTTTGGAAGTTCAGCTGTCACAGGAGGGTTCAGTATGTAGACTGAGTAGTTCTTAATCTGATACAGGCTGATCGTGACGCAGCTTCTAAACATTATTAAAGTGATAAACAGATCGTTTGTTAGCATGACGCCGTGTGCTCTACTCCATGTGAGTCTCGCTCAGTTTTACATTCAAGCAAAGCTCAAAGAAGGACGACTAAAAAAAATCACAAGAACTGTCCTTTGTTTATCATTGAAACATCAGTAGAGATGAATCCTTTGATCATCATTATTAGCTTGTGTAACTATGGCAACAACACAAGTGTCTTCGTAACGACAAACCACACAGCCAGCTGACCACGACCATCGTCCTCCATGTTTGTTTTTCTCCTGAAGTCACGTTTGATTTCGTGAGTTTCTGTGAGATCTCGTGTGATCTGTGATATCGTTACAAACAGCAGGTGTGTGGTCTGGCGGTCTGGATGATGTTATAAATAGTTTGAAGCTGTCCTCGTGTCTGTGGTCGCCCACGTTCTGAAACAACTTCTCCAAACCGATTTGGCCGGTTCAAACCTTCTCGTGTGTTAAAATCAAAACATCTGCCAACACGATCTCTTCCCATAACTCTTAGTCAGCGTGTTGTACGAGCGCTCGACAGAAATATATAAACTGCTCGAGATAAATGATGAATCTCTGTTTACAGTCGGTCAAATCCACGACTCACGAGAATCTGTGGATGAAAACGAGTCGAACTGAGGACGACTACATTTAATAAAACGAGATTAATATTAAAGACACAACGACCTTTAACCTTAAATCTGACAATGATGAGCTGACAGTGAGGTGTGTGTGTGTGTGTGTGTGTGTGTGTGTGTGTGTGTGTGTGTGTGTGTGTGTGTGTGTGTGTGTGTGTGTGTGTGTGTGTGTGTGTGTGTGTGTGTGTGTGTGTGTGTGTGTGTCTTGCTGAACGTGTCCGTGCACAAAGGAACTTTCTCTCCTGTGAAGCCTCACTCTTGAGTGTTCTTAGCGCCGTGCCGTGCCTCGCTCCTCGCCAAGCCTCCCTCACATCTAAATTATTTAGCACTGTTTATTATACAGAGGTTCTGCTGGCGCCAGGCGCTAGGATTCCCAAAAGAAAATACTTTTCATACATATAAATGGAAAAAGGCTGGACACTCTGCAATGTAATCCGCTCTGTTTTGTGTGGAGGTGAAACCCAATCCACCACGTCTCTGCCTGCCTTGCATTTCTGCTCTATTTATTTTTATTTTTGTTTCTTTTTCAACTTTGTGTCCCTTCCCTTTGGCAGAAACCGAATGATGAGAAATGCAAACCCCTGGAAAACAAATATTCTAGAAAAAAAAAAGGAACCCACACAAGGAGATTCTGACAATTTACTTGTTGTTTTGTTGATTTTCTTCTTCTGCGGCGAAGTGATAAAATATGAAAGATGACCGTCTGCAGGTTCTTTGAGGACAGACGGGTCGGACGTTAAGCTTTAACTTCACTCCTCCTCCTCCTGCAAGTTCTGAGCCCAGCGCTCATATTTATACACCATCCTCTCTTCTTTGTAATGCAGTTTATCACATTTTTAAACCTTTCATCCCGACCTCTCAAGACTTTGTCCTTCATTCTTTCACTTTCCTTTTCTTCCTCTCTGCTTCCTTCTTTCCTAATCCCCCCTCCCTCTCTGATCCTGCCCCCCCCCCCCCCCCCCCAACTAGCGCTCTCTCCTCTTCGCTTCACTTCAATGGCTTTCAGCTGTGGACTAATCACTGCAACATTGTCTCTGCAGTTAAAATAGCAGAAATGTTAGTAATAGGGGAACTCTGTGAGTCGGTATGTAGGAGGTGTGTTTATGACCAGATGATGATGGAGCGATTGTGACCAAACGGCGTTACTTTTCAACACGTTATTCGTTAGCGTGTTTGGTTGCAACACGTTACTGTCGTCACGTATTGTGCTGGAAAGTCAAACAAAACAAGCAAACATCATTAAAAGAAGTCCCTGCACGTTTTTGTACCAGATCTTGATGGCATTAAAAAACTACATTCCAAAATGTTTCTTTTGTTTTCCTCGCCACAAACGGCGAGCTGGTCCACACTTTGTCATAAACGAGCTGCAGGACAGAGCGCCTCCCCCTCCTCACAGCCCTGGAACAACAGTGTGTCAAAGTCTGGCAACAAAGCATCCCCTTTGAAAAATAGACTTAGCATCGCTTTGCCTAAGAAAACAGGTTTTCACAAACCCCATCCCTGCATCACTCTAAATCATAATTACGGGGTATCCGGGGGACCAGGAGCCAGAAAGTGAAAAGAGCGGCCTGGAGAGGAGGAGAGCTCTGAGGGTTTCCAGAGTGAACGCAGAGAGACGCTCAGAACATCCAGAACGTCCAGAAACCAACTCCTCCTTCTTCTATGCAATAATTAAACACACAAGAAATGAGACACACACACACACACACACACACACACACACACACACACACACACACACACACACACAAACTGACACACACACACACACACACACACACAAACACACACACACACACACACAAACTGACACACACACACACACACACACACACACAGACACACACACACAAACTGACACACACACACACAAACTGAGACACACACACAGACACAAACTGACACACACAAACTGAGACACACACACACACACACACACAAACTGAGACACACACACACAGACACAAACTGACACACACACACACAGACACAAACTGACACACACACACACACACACACAGACACAAACTGACACACACAAACTGAGACACACACACACACAAACTGACACACAAACTGAGACACACACACACAGACACACACACACACACACACACACAAACTGACACACACAAACTGAGACACACACACACAAACTGACACACACACACACACAAACTGACACACACACACAGACACAGACACACACACACAGACACACACACACACACACACAAACTGACACACACACACAAACTGACACACACACACACACACACAAACTGACACACACACAAACTGACACACACACACACACACAGACACAGACACACACACACTGTATGAAATCACATACAGATGAAGACACACACTCCTACGTGATGACATCGCCCCTCAGTCTTGTCACTCCAAACTTCCAGGACAGCGGATGCTAATTGGAAACAGGAAGTGTTTCCTCAGAAGTTTCAAAGAGCTGTCACAGCGAATATCTCGTCTTAAATAAATCCTCGATGCTGCCCCCGACCGCAGTTTCCCCCGCCATCAAATACAGAGAAACCTCGAATTACAATCAACTGTCTGTGTGGGAGAGAGCGCCAGAACATAATACACACACACTGAAGGCTGACATTCACAAGATTCATACAAGCTGGGGGCTGAGTGGTTAGTTTACACTCCCCATGTACAGAGTCCAAGTCCTGGGTTTGAATCTGACCTTCTGTTCCTCTCTGAGTAATCGAAAAGGAGACAAATGACATCGACAGGAAACACACCAAGGAACAAACTCCAGGGAGTGCAAAGTGTCCTTCAAACTAGAAATGTTTTTCATTTCATCTCACAACACTCGAGACGAGTTGAGTCGACTTTGAGTGTTCGCTCTGTTTAGAGTTTGAGCTCTTCCACTTGTACAGCAAGGATCTTAAAGTTACAACCATACTGCTACGATTCAGCCTCCTTTCAGATGTACTGTCCACTGTTAGGATCCTTAAATGACATAATAAATGACATTCAGTACGTCTTCATGCAGAGTTAAGAGTTACAGTCACAGCTCGATGAGGACATTTCATTCAGCTTCCTGTTGACATATTCTGATTGGAATAAGTTTCCTTTAAATCTCTGTTCCTTGTCATCGTTCCACTTATTTAAACATTTTTTGTTTTCTCATCTTCAAACTGATTGTGTTTGTTTTCAGTAACGTCAACACTGTTTGTTTATTTCTCTCTATGTATCACTGACTCTCTCTCCTCTAAGGTGTCTAGTCTAGAGTTGTAGCTTATTGTTGTATCTGTTTTCTGTGTTGTTCCTTATTGTTGTTGTTTTCTGCTGTATGTATTACTTTGTTTCGTCTGTAGTGTTATGTTTTGGTTTTGTGTTGCTGTGTTGTACCTGTGTCTTTGTAAATATCTGTTTGGGACCCCCTTGAAAACGAGGTGATACACCTCAAGGGGCTTATCCTAATAAAATACATTTCTCTCAAATATTACATCAAATATCAAACAAACAAGTTAGCAAGCTGGAAACTGGCTGTGCGTCTAACGATGAAAACATGAACAACTTTTCAGCTCTGAACATTGCATACGCTCTATTCATGCTGTTTGAGGGGTCAAAGCTCAGCTTGGAGCATGCTCAGAACGCCTCGACCAGTTTGAGGCTGATTGAGATGTTTACATAATACAGTATATCTACCGCTAACCACACCGTTTTCTAATTATCTGACTTTATCTACTCACATGTTTCCTCTAAATCCTGAGTGTGTGTTCTTTCTCTTACCTTGTTTCCTGGAGCTGGAGCTGTTCTGCTTATTCTCCTTATAACCCAGCTGTTTGATCCACAGTGTCGGAGCAGTTATCTCTGCTGTGGCGAGAAGACAGACACAGACACGACTGAGATTATAAAACAGACAGAGTGTATCCCTGCCAAGCTTTATTTAACCTGCTCAGCCGGGATGTTTCCATCAGTAATATTATCAGTTATCAGAGTTTAATTCACAGAAACAAAACAGAAAAAATCAATCCAAATCCCAGAATCTCCAAAGTAATGTATCACCCCTAAACGCCATCGCCAAGCTGCTTTTTATATCGACTCTTCTTTCTACTTTAACTGACTTCTCCCGTGCTGGAGGCTGAATCTGAATAAATGCAAACACGTCCTAATTGGCTCACAATTCGGTGGGTTTTATATGAATTAGGGTCTGTGTCCAGTAGCGCCGTTTGTTTGTTTTCTAGACAAAATCAGTATTTTCAGCATTCAGTGTGCTAAGCTAACGATGTGCAAGTTGAGTTTAAACGGTAAAACGTTGTCACCCTCGCTAGTCTGCATCAGAACTACCAGTCCGCTGAACATAGTATTATTATTTTTATGTGTTGTCAAATGTTGGGCTCAAACTGTAATGCAGCCTCCCACCACTAGCCTGTGCTGTAGCTCTGATAAATGGGCCGCTCTCCTCGCTCTACTACCCGGATGTAAACAAACACAGTGGACAGAGAATTTGATTCAAA